CGGAATCGATACAAACCTTTTTCCTAAACTGGTATAGTTTCGGCGGAATCAATAATTCCCCCCGTAACCACGTGTCCATATAGACACCACCTAAAAAACTGTAACAATGTACCTTATGAGTAGGTTATTAAGTACAAGTACTCACAGACACAAAAAAGAGTTTTATATATCTATACAGACGAAGTTATGTGCATTGTATATACATTATACCCATTACGGCCTTTGTATATTATGTCTTGAATTGTCTCACAGTATTATACATAATTAGTTCAGTGTATACCTACGTGTATTGTGTATGCAATAATACAGAGTTTTGTCAACTTTTAAGGTTCAAATTCTACAATACGGTTTTCAGTAGCGCGTGCAACTGCAGTATGTGTGTTGTGCCTACATTATATTATTATAATGTGTTTTGTCAAATCATTTGGTATGGTTGTATGGATAATGTAAATATAATATTCTATACACATGAAAAGCTTACGGCTTTACCTTTTACATTTTGTAAGTATATATATAAATAGCTTCAATAGGCTGCAGTTTGTCCACTCAATGATGAAAGCGTACGGAAAGCAAGCCGTTTTTGAATAAAAGACGAATGATACTCTATAATATTATGTAGTTGATGAATGAGCAACAGGTGTAGTACCTCGTAAGTCGTTCGTGTATTTTATAACACTTCAATATTTCATTCATTGAAAAATGTATAGCACCTACCAATAATATTCTATTGAAATTATTTTATGCAAAATATTTGTATGCAAACATCTTTATAAATCGTTGACTTTATAGGATATTATAGTAAATTATTTTGTCAATCTTTAAACATATCATAKTAATTATTTTAATCTTAATTTAATGTTCATCTATTCAAAATTAATTTTTGATTTAAACACAAGTGTAACGCTGATATAGGATTCATTGTTTTCAAACAATTGAAATAGATTATTTATTTCGTATCAAAAATTAAATAAGTACCTACACCTATTTAAAATATTAAGTATCAAAAAGGTTGTATTTAATTTGGAACATACAAAAAAGATTTAAATTTAAGCAGTACAAACAATTTTAATTTATGTATAATGAATAATAATTATACAAAAATATGAAGTTAATTAACTTATTATGTGAATAGTGAAATACCGTAAAATATCAATTCGTTATTGATGTATTTAAAAATAAATCAAGTTATCATTAGTCATTCAACTGTAATTAAATCATTTTATAGTTGTACGAGTATTTAATTATACCTAAATTAATTTTACTGACGTTACTATTCACGTTTTAAATATAAATAAATTATTATTACGTTTCAATGTTTCAATGTTACAAAGTTTGAACAATCTAATATAAACTAAAATGAACAATGCATTACATAATTGCATAACCGCACATAGGTACTAATAAAAATAAATGTCATATAATAATATTATAATTTATAATTATAATTATAATTATAATTGTAATTATAATATTATGATATAGTAGGTAT